TGGGTTTGCGCGGGTGGGTTCTTTGGCGCCATATATACATCCCATTACAAGCATGAATATGGAAGATATCTCTTCTGGTTATTTCTCTGATTTAGACATTTAGAACTCTCATGATAACCAAAGCTTTACTTTGAGCTGGATATTCAATACTTTCTTCCACATCCTCTTGTGGTGCTGTCATTATTTTTGCTTTCACAGTCATTGACACTATCAATTCCGCTATCATCACTCACTAGCATCATCTTCTTATTTGAGCATTAATTGTATTACACTTTTGAGATGAGTTTGGTATTTACCTTTTGTATAAGGTGGTTTGGACTTTTCCTTCTTCTCATCTGCTCCCTTCTTTTCTTCTTCTTGGGCCATTTCGAGCTGTAGATAGGGTTGACATGTAATGTACTCCTCCCTTTGTACTTGAGCTGTCTCTCGATTTTTCATGACCATTTATACCATGTCCTCTAACCCCATATAGTGTTGCAACTTTACAATGTTAGTAATCTCCTTATTAAGATCTTTCAAGAATCTTGGCATGGTTGCTTCGAGATCTTCTTCAATATTTCCTTCCCCGCAGCCCACTTTTTCTTTGGATTTACTTTGAAGAGTCTGTTAATGGAATCTCACTAGTTCTATCCACAAGCTCCTTAAACGGATTACAAGCCTGCCCCCTCAAGGCCTTGAAAACTAACTCCCAAAAGTGCCACTTATCTTTTGGATAGTTTCTAACATCTACACTGAATTCTCATCTAGGCTTGCAATTGCCTCCACTAGATTCTCAATCGCCACCCTCTCTCTTCCTCCAACAGGTCTCTTTTCTTGTTGAAACTCCATAACACCATTAGATACAGTGTATCACCTGCAGTATTTAAGTTAGTTCCTTTTCCCTTTCTTGTTCTTCATCCTGAAATTCCTTTTTTGCCACCTGTTTCGGCCTCTGGAACCACTTCCAGCTGCGCAAAAGAGATCGACTTCCTCTCATCTTTCTCCTCTCCTATTTTCATTTTTCCTCTTCCAGCCTCAGATAATATTCTCCCCTCCTTCCTTTCCCCCCTCTATTGAGAATTCCCCCACCCCATTGTCCCCAGATCAGTTTTAGAGGAGCTGTTGGAGGCCGTCTCATTGTCCTCCAGAATGACATTTTCTTCTATCACTAATCCCTTTGAAACCTTGACCCAACAGCTTCTTTCTTCCTCTACCTAGGCTTGGGTTTGGAAACCCGAACCCATTTAGCCTATCTTAGAAAGTAAATTTTTATATTTTCGGTTTGTGCGCCTGAACAGATCTGGGCTCAATAATTGAGCTCCCCTTACTATTAGGAGCCCGATTATTTTGAAATTTATGTCAACCCAACCTGCAGTTGAGTTGTATCTTACCTTCCCTGCCCGATCGAGACTCTCCCTTTCGCCACCCAGAGCCTCGAGCTATGATATCACTCCATTCAACTCCAGGTTGGCCTGAGTTACCACATTGCAATTAAGATAGGATATATTGCACATTGCAACTATCTTCTTTGCTGGTTCCCAGATCTCCACAAGCTTCACTATCATCCTCCTTGATTCTGCAGGAATCAGTTTGAATTCAATATGACAAGCTCTCCTACGTTCTTCAATAGAATCCACAACCCATTGGCTTGCCATCATTTCGGAAGGATAATGTTGCATCTTTTTCCTCATTTCTTCTCAGTGAACACCAGGTACTTCCCACCTGTGTTCTCACCTGTTGGCGCCCACAACACATGCTTCTCTCCCACCATACTACCCGGTATTCCTTCCCCCTCTCCCGTTAAAACTTCATTAAATATCTAATAAACCACTTTATTTCCTTTCCCATAAAGTTATCGAAGACCTGTAACCTTTGCCATTTTCGCTCAACTTGAGCCCTTCCACCTTTCTGCCCATGAGCTCTAGATCAAGTGATTTTCCTTCAACAATCAGGAAGCTTCGCATTGGGGAGGATGGCACGGAGTACATCGGTGCAGAGCTCCAATTTATCAGATTTGGCAGTGTGCTGTCAGGTGTTCAAATCAGTGAGGTGTATGTGAGCAGTGGAGGTTGGATCGTGATAACTGCTTGGAGGTGATCTAAATAAGATGATGGTACATATGGAGGATATTTGGATGCAGGTGCCAACGAACGGGCAAATAATACAGGTAATGGCACACAATCCTTCTGCTAGAAGACTGGAATTTTTTTTATGCCTTCAGGGAAGTAGCAGTCAAGTAGTGGCGTGAGATGGAGGTCAAATGCAAGTGGCAGAGAGAGAGAAGCAGGACCAACAAAGCGTACTTGGTGGCTTCTTGCAGCGTTCCTGGGATGTATCTTCAAGCTAAGAATAAAAGATGTGTATTTGACCATCTTGAGTGAAGTATTGGAAATTCCATCAATCTTCGATCTTATTATTAGAAAATAAATCTTTTTAAAATTATGGGATACTAGTTAAAGAATCTTACTAGTTTGAAGATTTAATTTGAATTGATTTGTTGTTATTAGTTTCCTATTTTTCTTTATAAAAGTTACAATATTCATGTATATGCGCCTTCCAACTATAAAAAAAGGTTCAGCTGTATTTATTAAGGAATCAAAGTTCCTATTTATTAATTCCTGTCTCATACTTTTTCCTAATTATTAAACTAATTTTTATAAGTAAACTTGGGATTGTAATTATTTATGTTTGAATTAATCTTACTCGACTTGAGTTGTTTAGAGATGGATTATTTCTGTTGGAATTGAAACAAATAGGCTTTTGCAGTTTGAATAAATAGGCTGTTACAGTTTCTCATTGATTGATTAGGCAAGTACAATTTAATCTATCCAGAAATTGACTTCATGTAACACTAAAATTAGTTGATAGTTCAGAACTTGAGTCCATTGACTTGTGTAATAGGTGATGGCCACTGGTGAGAGAGTTCGCAATGCCCTTCGTGTAACAAGGATGATAGGCATTCCAGATGAAGAGGCGAAACTTGTGCTCAAAAGATTGCTGAAAATGTTTGATAACAACTGGGAACCCATAGAAGCAGAAGAATATCGGGCACTACTGGATACATACTTTGAGATCAAGGATAATAAGGTACTTTCTGATGAATCATGTTATGCACTGTACTTCTTGTGTTTATAGGCCTGTTTGTGATGCAGAATAAGGTCCTGGTTGAATAAGTTTGATATTGTTTAAGTGGACGAAGGATTCCCCAATAGTTTTCAAGCAGATGAAAAATTACTCATCACATCTTGGGAACAAATAAAAAAGTAATAAAATTAATTTGTAAATTTCCCACTTAGTTCTATTAGGAGATGGTATAAATTCATTATAAGATAAAAAAGTGTCTGTTTATAGAATTTTGTATGAAACTGTAACAATGCACTCTAAATTTCGTCATTAAGGTGGAATTGAACATATTGTCCTAATTTTATACAGTTCAATTTTGTATTTATTCCAGTTTGTAGATGTGAAATAAAATATTGTAATATTATTACATTTTATAGAGATAATTTATGTATTTGCAAAAATCTATATGTGGAAAAGTAAAATGTTGAATAGAAAACTTAGCTATATGTAATGTACATCTCGAGAGAAAATACATTCTATTCTAACACTCTCCTCAAGTTGGAGCATATAAACCATATGCACCAAGTTTTTACATACAAATGTCATGTAAATTCTCTTTAAGAATTTTGTGTATGCATCACGTTTTTACAAATGAATTTCATATAAGTTCTCTTTAAGAATTTTGTGTACACACCAAGTTTTTACAAACGAATCTTGGGAGGCTGATTACTTCAACTAGTTTCCGTGTTCTTCGAACTTATCTCTTAGTTGTTGAGAGAGTTGTCCAAAGGCAGTATGTAGGGTATACTCTGTAAAACTCACAAGTAACCTAGATATAAAGATTGCGCTAGTGTTGCTGTTTCCATTATTATATAATTTCAAAACCACAATGGATCTATGCTAAGATCGTTTATTTACAAAGGAATAGTATACAAAGTCAAACATATCTTAATAAATACACAATAAGATTTATGGTTACACAAACTGTTGAGAATATTTCTAGATTTGGACCAAGACGAACTGTTGTGAGGGATCTATTGAAACCATTGGATTCACAATATGGTAAAGTAACTCCTGGATGGGAAATGACTCATTTGATGGGTGTTGCAATGACTTTATTTGTAGTATTCTTATCCATTATTTTAGAGATTTATAATTCTTCTGTTTTACTTGACGGACACATAAGTTTTCTTTAAAATTTTGTAAATATATTAAGTAGTTAGTCTATTAAATTCACATGAATAGTTTTAATAACCTTTTGTAGAAGTTTTTTTTTTCCAAATAAAATGATAATCAACCTCTTATATTTGATCATCTTAGACAAAATGGATTTGAAGCCATGTGAATTTTATCTGGCTAATAGATAGCAACAAGGTGGATTATGATTGAGGAAAGTCAAGCAACTTACAAGTAACCAGCTCTATGAGTCATTGTTGATTTTTAACTTGAACATACTCCGTGCTCTTTCCAACATGTGTTATGATTGAGAAAACCAACCCAACCCAGCATTTACAGCAACTCCGTGATCTTTCGAAGAGTCAGTGATTTATCTATTTGCACACTATTTTGTGTGTATCATGACATACTTTGTGTACCATATGTTTGCAAAACTTTTA